TCCATCCGTCCATCCCTGTCCATCCATCCATCCATCCATCCATCCATCCATCCATCCATCCATCCATCCATCCATCCATCCATCCATCCATCCATCCAGCCTCAAAGCCATTTCTCCAGTTTACTTTTCCTTCCATCCTGTCTTCATTCCTTCCTTTGCACACCGTCAGCCTCCACGCACACATCTGCCCATGGCAATTGTCCTGACCCTCCTCTGTCCCCACCTGAGCTTGTCCCCGGCCTCTTTGGACCTGTAGATGTCACAGGTGTGCAGGGGACCGTTGTGGTTGGCCGCTTGGCACAGCGCCTTGTGGAACTGGAACTGGAGGATGAAGCTCACGAAGTACCTGCCGAGAAAGCCCAGAAAGGTCAAAACTGGGGACAGAAGGAAGCAAATCCCAGAGCTCAACCCACCATTTGTAGTGCCAAGTTGGGAGATCTCCATGTCTGGAGCAGGAGCAGCCCACAGAGGTGATCCCAAACCCACTGCAACCCAAATCCTTGTGAACACTTCCCCTACCTGATGTAAGGAGTGTTCCCTGGGATGTGGTACTTTGCTCCAGGGTCAAAGTTGCTTTCATTCCTTGGAACTGGAGCACATATACCCTGGTATTTGGTTCTGTGGTCAACAGAGAACAACATTAGCATGGGAATAACAAGGGGTCAGGAGAATTGAGTCAAGGAATGGGGAGGAATGACACAGTGCTGAAGAAATCTGCACAATTAGAGCATGATTTTATATATTTCTGCCCATCCATCCATCCATCCATCCATCCATCCATCCGTCCGTCCGTCCGTCCGTCCGTCCGTCCGTCCATCCATCCATCCATCCATCCGCCCATCCATCCACCCTACCCACCCACCCATCTATCCATTGTTCTCCCATCTTCTCCATGGCTCTTTTCCCCTTTTTCTGTCCTTTCCTCCTTCCTGCCTTCCTTCCTTGCACATCCCCAGCTTCCACACCACCTCCCCCAGCCTCCCCCATCCACTCTTGGTGACTGTCCCCTACCTCAGGTGCCACCAGTCGTAGTTGTAACGGCTTGGGGGCGTGCGGCCACTGAACACGTTCCAGCGCCACTGGTCGATGAGGTAGCCAAAGGGCAGGAAGGCAATCTTCTCCAGGGCCATCTTCAGCAGGTAGTTGATATCACTCTCTGCATGAAACAGATCTTGAATAAGGCTGGGATGGAGTCTGCATAGACAGCACTACAAGATTTTAGTGGGTAAGAGAGTGGGCAGACGTGGCAGAGAAATGTGTGATCTTGCTCCTAGAGATGTCTGTGTAGGACACAGGAGGTTTGTGTAGGACACAGGAGGTTTGTGTASCCACAGCTACTKCCTGGGGCAATACGGACCTTTTAGTGAGTGGGGACAATGACAGTGACCAGTGTGGGGTAAGAGGGGAAAGCAGGGCTGCGTGGTCACCCCAGAAAGTGCCATATTGGGCTGTAAGACCAGGTTGGGGGTACCAAAAGGGTGACCCAAAAGGTGGATGGTGGAGGGTCTTTCCTGGGTTACTTGGCCTTAGCCCAGCTCTCAGAGTGACTGTGGTCAGTGGGAAGGTCTGTGGTCAGTGGAAAGGTCTGTGGTCAGTGGGAAGGTCTGTGGTCAGTGTAAATCTTCACAATTCCACCCTGGGGCCACACATTGAGGGAGTTTGATCTGCAGTCACAGCACTGCAAAGGCTCTGAAGGTTTAGACCCAGAACCAGAGTCAGCTCTARGACAGCCACCACTACACCGTGAGCAGCACGGGGGATGCTGACATCCACTTTCCCCCACAAAAAAAAACCTGGGGAAGGAAGTTTGGAGAAAGATCTGCTGGAGCGCCAGCTGAAGCTCTGGGGTCAGAGAGGGGTTGGCAGCACTGCCCTGAGGGGMATTTGGCTACCATCACTATGGTGGCCTGGCTGCCAAGGGCTGGCAAGCCAGGCAGCGATGGCTTGAGGCAGGGACCATCTGCTTGGTGGTGTTTGTGCAGCGCCAGCCCAACGCTCTTGGCTGCTGCCACGTCTTTCTCATCATAAAATGTATTTAATGACGCGGCAGGAGGATCCCAGCACTGTCCCCTCTGTGCCAGCAGCCGCCCGGGGCAGCTTTGGCAACGCTCAGATTCCTCTGCTGCCATCTGCTCTGACGTGTCACCGAGGGACACTGCGGGGGGATGTGGCTCTGGCCAAGCTGGGCAGTGACAATTCCTGCCCTACCGTGGTGACACAACGTCCGCCCACTGCTCTGGTGACCACTGGGTGCCACCTCCACGGTGCCACRCCGGGAGCCCCACTGGTGGATGYTTCTTGGTGAGAGAGGGASGAATGCTGCWAAGGTCAAAGCCAGTCAAGCACAARGGWRCTGTTTTCAGCTTTGGGCTCTGGTGGTGAAGGGAAAAGCACAGACAAGCTCTGGAGAGCGTCCTCCTGCCTCAGGGGTGAGGAGGATGGAGCCGAGGAGGGCTCGGTGTGGACCCATGGGGACAAAATGAGTCCTGCCTGAACCCATGGAGACAAGAAGGGGTTTGTGCTTGGACCCATGGAGATGAGAAGGGGTTGTGCTTGGGCCCATGGAGATGAGAAGGGGTTGTGTTTGGACCCATGGAGATGAGAAGGGGCTGTGTTTGGACCCATGGAGATGAGAAGGGCTTGTGCTTGGACCCATGGAGATGAGAAGGGGCTGTGTTTGGACCCATGGAGATGAGAAGGGGTTGTGTTTGGACCCATGGAGATGAGAAGGAGTTGTGCTCAGACCCATGTAGATGACAAGGGGTTGTGTTTGGACCCATGGAGATAAAAAGGGGCTGTGCTTGGACCCATGGAGATGACAAGAGGTTGTGTCATTTCCCAACTGCAGCCCCTCCTGGCACGTGCCAAACCCTTCCCAGCACCACGGGCAGTGCCAGAGCCCCCCAGGTCGCCCACCAGCCCAGGCTGGCTGCCATACCTTCATCCTCAGTGGCATTGCTGAGGAGACCGATCTCCTTGAGGTGGCTGGGGGTGGAGACCGAGAGGGACAGGACATCGCCGATGGCCTCGTGGAAGCCTGGGTTGGCCCCGCCGCGGAAGGACACGGGCTGGTCCTTGTACTGCAGGTAGTACTGGATGTGGCCCATCTCGTGGTGCACCGTGAACAGCTGCTCCATGGTCACTGTGGTGCACTGCTTGATCCTGGAGCGGGGTAAAAAACAGTGGAAATGGTGAAAAGAGAACTGAGAGAGGGATCCCAGCTGCCTGTGCCACCCTCTGGATGGCACCCACTGCCCCAGAGAGGGTGGTGACACCCCATGGGGTAAGAGGGGAGGGCAGGGCTGCTTGGTCACTCCAGAAAGTGCCATATTGGGCTGCACGGCCAGGCCGGGGGTACCCAAAAGAGTGACCCAAAAGAGTGACCCAAAAGGGTGACCCAAAAGGGTGACCCAAAAGGTTGATCCTAAAGGGTGACCCAAAAGGGTGACCCAAAAGGGTAATCCTAAAGCGTGACCCTAAAGGGTGACCCTAAAGGATGACACCAAAGGGTGACTCAAAAGGGTGATCCTAAAGGATGACGCTAAAGGGTGATCCTAAAGGATGACGCTAAAGGGTGATCCTTATTTGTGACCCAAAAGGGTGATCCTAAAGGGTAACCCAAAACAGTGACCCTAAAGGGTGACCCAAAAGGGTGATCCAAAAGGGTGATCCTAAAGCGTGATCCTAAAGGGTGACCCAAAACAGTGACCCTAAAGGGTGATCCCAAAGGGTGACCCAAAAGGGTGATCCTAAAGGGTGATCCTAAAGGGTGATCCAAAAGGGTGATCCAAAAGGGTGATCCTTATTTTTGACCCAAAAGGGTGACCCAAAAGCATGTCCCTAAAGGGTAACCCTAAAAGGTGACCCAAAAGGGTGACCCAAAAGGGGGATGGTGGAGGGTTTTTCCCTGGGTCCCTGTGTGTCCCCACAGACCTGAAGTCCTTGCGGTTGTAGAAATCCCAGGCCGAGGCGTGGCACACCACCTCCCGCCCGTCCGTCGGCTTCTCCAGCATGGACTTCTCCCAGAATTCACGGGGCATCTCCAGAAGCCCCAGGGAGGTAAAGAATTCCTCTGAGACCCGGAACATCTTGGTGGCGTTCCAGCCCTGGTGGGCAGCAGGCAGTGGGTTAGGGCTGAGGAAGGAGCTGCCCCTGCCCTGGGCATTGCCTCCAGTGCCCCCCAACACCGTGAGCTGCTCTGAGGGACTGAGATCCTGCCCCTCTCACCACGATGGACAGGCCCAGCCCCACAATTGGTGTGAACATCCCTAAAAAAGCACCAAGCAATGGTGCTGGATCTCAGCAGGAGAAGGGAGCAGGGCTGAGACCCAACAAGTGCTTGGAGCTGTGTGATGGTGTGAGCCTGGCACCAGTCCCGGTGCACTGCCCACTTTGTCCACCTGCTGCCTCTTTGGTCATTGCCAGAGACAGAGTGAGATCATTTCTTTGTCCCTTCCCCTCCCAGAAATGGATTTTCTGTTGTGTTCTGTGCAAATATGAGAAATGACTCCCATGGGATAAACCTCATGGACCAGCTCGGGAAACACCCCCCGTTTTCTCCCCCTGGTGCCCCCAGTGAGTCCCTCAGCCCATCACCTGCTGCACCATGGTGCTCGTGACATCCAGGTTGGGCTTCTCAGGGTAGGGGATCATCAGGTCGTAGATGTTGTTCCACTGCTGAGCCCACATGTTCCCTGAGAAGAGAACGCAGCTGGAGCACAGCTGATGGCTTCGAGGACACACACGGTGACAAACGGGACCTGTGACCTCGCCAGCACCCCTGGGCACACGCTGGGGGAGTGTCACCTCTTACCCAGGAGGTGGGCAGGGATGGGACCCTTGAGGTTGATGTATTTGGGCCCATAGCGCTCGTAGAGCTTCCTCCGGACRAAGGCGTGCAGGTTGAGGTAGAGCGGCTCCAGTTGCTTGTAGATGTCCTCCAGGTCCTTCTCGAAGTTTTCTGAGTCATACCAGGAGCGCCAGTAGCTGCCTGTGTCATCAAATCCTACCAGGGATATCAGGGAAACCTCAGGCTCCAGACCCCAGAAGATTTCCCCACCACCCATCCCCAAAAGGTGCCACCACCCCAAAACGTGCCAGCAGTAGGATTTTCAACCCCTTCCCCAAAGTTGGGGAAATAGGAATTGGATGCTCTGCTGCATGTGGGGTGGGGACAGCAATGTCTCCATCCCAAATTCCTCCCCTGACCCCTGACCAGCCCTGGTTGGGGATCCCCCTGTCCGTACCATCACTGGAATACGCCTCGTTGCTCAGCTCCACGAACTCCTGGTATTTGGGGCGCAGCGGGTTCCCCGCGGCGTTGTGCCACCCCTCCCAGGCGTACAGCAGCTTCTTGTAGCTRCGGGAGGTGGCCATGATGTCCGAGAGGTCTGGGACAAAGGGGACAAGCAGGACATGAGAAAGGGGACACATGCCACGGTTCCTCAGCGATGTCATTGTCACCACACCGAAGCCGGCCACCCACCCTCACCCTGGGACAATCCTGGTGATGGTGAGAGGGACGTGCCAACCCCAGCTGAGTGAGGACATGGGGACCAGGACAAAGGCTCTGGGGCGCTCAGGAGCTGGCAGGATCAGGGGACAGGGACATACCTGGCTCCAGGTCCCAGCAGGTGCTGTTGGGCAGGCACACCTTGGCYGTGGAGTAGATTTTGTCCATGTCGCTCAGGATGGTGTTGTACTGTGGGAAAGGAAAAGGTGTTGGCACTGTAAAGGGACAGGGACAGCCCTTCAGGATGGATTGACAGGCTCCCAGCTCTGGGGTGTGTGTGTGTGTGACTGGAGGGATGTGGGGAAGGATTGGTGTGAGTTTATATGGTGTGTTTATATTTGTTTTTTGTGAGATGAGGGCGTTTCCATGCAAGGGTTTTACACTAAGTTTTTGGTGTGATGAGGGTGTTTCCACTCCAGGGTTTTGCCCCCATGACTTGGTGGGAGCAGGGACAGACAGACCCCTTTGGGACAGGCAGACCCCTTTGGGACAGA